ACTGGCATCTGTGCCCCCACCCTCTGCCACAACCTCCTGGCACAAAGTGAAATCCAACAAGCAGGAGTCATTACCATCTTTCCCAATGATGTCGACTACTCTGACCTCTTTGTCGCCAAAACCGGCATTCATCTAGCCCGCTTCACTCTCAATTCCAACAACCTATACACGCTCGTAGTACCTCCCATTCAAACGTGCTCCCTCACAAACCTCCCGTTACCTTCCCTTGACTCCTCCACCTGTCACTGCCGCCTCCTTTCCGACAAAACCATGCTCTTTCATCACCGCCTTGGCCACATCAACTTTCGCGCGCTTTCAGACCTTGCCACAAAACAACTCCTCCACGGGCTTCCAACCTCACTTCCCTCTCCTACCTCCACCCTCGGGCCGCCTTGCCTTGACTGTGTACAGAGCAAGCTTCGTGAGCAGCCCCATCCCCCCATTGAGTCCATCTCCGCTGCACCTCTCGATCGCGTGCACATGGACCTTTTGGGCCCAGCTCCTGTTCGCTCTCGCGGTGGACACTTTTACTTCCTTGTCATTATTGATGACTACTCCCGCTATGTGTCTGTCCACCTTCTCTCCTCCAAATCCGAAGCCCAAGGCGTAATCATTGAATGGGCGAAGCAGGCTCATAAACACTTCAAAACCACCATCAAGGTCCTTCACTCTTACGGCGGCGGTGAATTCCGCAACAACACTCTCAAAGCTTACTGCTCCACTGAGGGTATCCGTCAGACCTTCACTCTCCCAGACAGTCCCCAACAGAACGGTATTGCCGAAAGCCGGAACCGTACATTGGTGCAGATTGCTCGCTCCCTCCTCACGCACGCCTCCGCCCCTCCCTCTCTCTGGGGGTACGCCATGCTTCATGCTGCCGCCCTCCACAATCTCCATCCCCATCCTCATCACACCCACACCATCCCCGCTGAGCTATGGACGGGTCAAAAGCCATCCGTCCGCCCTCTTCGTGTATGGGGGTGCACTTCTTATGTCCTCCTCAACTCCCAAGCCCGTCATGCGGCTGGCGGCAAACTTGCTCCCAAAACGATCACGTGCGTATACCTCGGGCACAACTTAGACTCGCCAGACTATCTCTTCCTCCATCCTTCCACCAACAAGCTCTATCGCAGCCGAGACGTTTACTTTGATGAGTCCCACCCATTCTACCCCTCCTCCAAGGCTTCCCCCTCTCCTCCGCCTCCCTCTCTTACTTGGGCAGACTTTGACAGTCTCCCTCTTCCCGACACTCCATCTCCTCCTCTTCCCGCTCCCTCCACCATTTCTGATCCCCCATCACCCGCTTCCCCCTCCAGTACCACACAGTCTCCCTCGCTCCCTCCCTCCTCCGCTACCCATCCTCCATCTCCTCTCGCATCTCCTCCTACCGAGCCCGTTCCTCTCAAAACCTACCAGCACCGTCACCCAGCTCCTCCTCCTCCTGCTCCCACCCCTGATCCCGATCCTGTCTCCACTCTCCCTCCCACCCCCACCTCCCCTTCCGCTACGCCTACTCCGGCCCCGCCTCCCTCACCCATCGCTTCTCGCACCCGCTCTCGCACACCTCCACAACCGTTCTCCCTTTCCGTTCGCGTCTCTCTCAATTCTCCTCCTGTCGGGGGTGATTATTCTCTCATGTCATCCCTCCTTGAAGACAGACATGAGGAGTTGATTGATATCGACTCAGCCATCCACGCACTATGCTCCCTCTTTCCAGACATCGCAGACTCTCCCACCCTCAATTTCTCCGACAACCTTTCCATCCCCACACCTCTCACCTATGCTGAAGCAGTCTCTGGTCCTCACGCCGCTCAGTGGATGGGGGCCATTGTCGCAGAATGTGAGGCCTTCATTCACACAGGAACTTTCACAGGCGTCTTTCCTCCCTCCGGCGTTAACATTGTTAAGGGAAAATTGGTCTTTCGGGTGAAACAACTTCCAGACGAATTTCCTGTCTTCAAAGCCCGGTACTGTGCCAAGGGATTTACCCAAAAGCGTGGACTGGACTTCTTTGAGACATTCTCTCCCACCGCCAAACCTCCCACACTGCGCCCTCTACTCGATGTCGCTGCTCGAGATGACATGGAGGTTGACTGCATGGATGTGTCTTCTGCGTTCCTGCAAGGGATCCTTCGAGAGGAAATCTATATGGAGCGGCCCGAAGGATTTCCAACTCCTTTTCCACCAGGCACTGTATGGAAGCTGAATCGGCCAGTGTATAGCCTCAAGCAAGCTCCCCGGGAATGGCACAACAAGCTAAAGAGCACCTTAGGGTCCCTCGACTTTCACCCATCCACCTCTGACCCCAACCTCTTCATCCGAGCAACACCCTCCCGGTTCTTCATCCTCGTTTATGTCGATGGCATGATCCTTGTCACCAAGGATCAGACACAGCTGGCAGCAGTCAAAACCGCACTTGGTGAGAAGCTGGCCATGAAGGACCTTGGGAAGCTGACGAACTATTTGGGAATGGAAATCACACGTGATCGCACAGCCCGCACCATCACCCTTTCGCAGAAGTTTTACATCAACAACGTTCTGACGAGGTTCCAGATGCAGGAAGCAGCATCAATGCCCACCCCACTCTCTCTGCAACACCAACTCACTGCACCCTCCGTTCCCTCACCTGAGCCCTGTGACGAGCCTTACCCCGAGCTTGTGGGATCCCTCATGTACGCGATGATGTGCACTCGACCAGACTTAGCCTATCCAGTCAGTGTACTGTCCCGCTACGTTGCACCTGGTCGCTTCACTCGCCACCACTGGTCTGCCGCCAAGCGGGTTCTTCGCTATCTCAAAGGCACACAGGATTATGTGCTCGCACTTGGCGGCACTTCCTCGGTTCGCCTTGAGGGGTACAGTGACTCATCCTATGCTGATGACCAGAGTGATCGGCGCTCGTCCCAAGGGTATTGCTTTACCCTTGGCACTGGGGTTGTAAGTTGGCGCTCCACTCGGTCGTCCTCCGTCTCACTGTCGACCTGTGAGGCAGAGCTGTATGCCGGGACCATGGCTGCACAGGAGGCTCGTTGGCTCTCCTTCCTGCTGACAGAACTGGGGTATCCCCAACCAACCCCAACGCTTTGGTGTGACAACGAGAGCACCATTCATCTCACCAAAGACCCCGTTTTCCATGGCCGCACCAAGCACATTGAAGTCCGTCACTACTTTCTTCGGGAGCTGGTGCAGCGCGAGCAGCTGAAGGCTGAACACATTGCCTCCGACTGCAACCTTGCTGACTTGTTTACCAAGTCGCTTGTTCGCGAGGATCATTACCGCCTCCTCTCGGCCATGGGTGTTGGGCCTCCTTGTGGCTGATGTGTTGCAGCCTAGGGGGTGTGTTAGAATTAGGCTGTCAACACTTTGTGTACTATATTCTATATCGCGTAGGTTATTTGTGGGTTTGGGGTAGTTTGTGATCCCAGCCCTATCTGGTTGGGATTCCTTCGTAATCCTGCAAATCTGCCAACTCACCAATTGGAGATTTGCTAGGATTCCCATCCCATCCTTTCCCTAGCCTTGCCCATCACAACCTCGTTTGTACTTAAGGCCTAGTGCCTTCTTTCTTAATCAATCAGTTCAGTTTCAATTCCGTCAGCATTCAACCGCCACGCCGAGAAGTCGAGTTCAACTTCTTGCTCCGACAAGCAACCCTTCCAGTCGCCCTGGGCGGACTGGGACTTACAGACCCCACAACAGAAGCAGCACCGGCCTACCTGGCATCAACGACGGAGGCGCTACGACTGCTCCGCTCCCTTTACCTACCAGCAACCGCGGCACTGGGAGCCAACAACAACACCCTGCAGCCGTCCGCAGCGCACTCGGTAACCATCTAGGACATGGAGGGGCGCCTGCCACCGCTGGCGCTACAATACCTCCGGGAGGAGCAGCAAACCCCGTCCTAAGACCAGCTGCAACGCGCCCTCTCTCACGAGGTGCACGCGGCAAAGGCCGACGCCTTGACAGAGGAGTCACGCACCATCCTGTCAGCCCTCGAGATGGGTCACTCACTCCGCCTCATCAGCCTGAGAGGGGAGGGAGCGGGAGCATGGCTGCAGGCCCTACCTTTGACCCCGGACCTTTGCTTCTCACCAGGACAATTTCGAGCAGCCCTGGCCTTCCGCATGGGCATCCGCCAGAATGTACCCACTGTGTGCGAGTGTGGAGAACTCGTAGCCGACTGCAGCCTACCCAACCACCTACTCCGCTGCAGCCCCGACAGGATACGCACACACAACCAGCTAGCTTTTGCCGTGGCTAAAATGGCAAGGGAGGCAGAGCTGGTGGTATACCTAGAGAACGCCATGTACTCACCGCCGGATGACCCGAAGAAAGCCGATGTGATTGTACGCGACCCGGACAGTGGAGAGACTTGGATCACAGACACGACTATCACCGACCCTGTGCTGCAGAACCGGGACCCCACAGCCCGCAAACCCCCAGGCTGGGCTGCTAGAGAGGCACAGAGGCGGAAGGAGAGGGAGTACTACCGACACACGGAACACGTGGTGTTCTGCGCCCTAGCCGTCGAGACCTACGGGGCAAACGCGCCCACCACGACTGCGTTCCTGAAGCTGCTGGCCACAGCAGCAGCTAGGAACCGGTTCAGGGCCAACCCCCTGGCGAAATCGGCCGAGAAGATGGCCTGCCACTTCAGCCAGCGCTGATCAGTGGCCCTCCAGCGCTCCCATGCGAATGCCCTGCACACCAAGGCCAGGGCTGGGATCGAGGCAGCGCACCCCCAGATGGCAGCGGACCCCTGGCCGCTGCACCTGGGGGACATCCTCCACACGCTGGAGGGCTAGAGGGTCACTCAGGGGGGGGTGAAGAGTGGTAAGTTTTGGGGCTTAAGGGATGGAGGTTATCATGGATAGCACCGCATGTTTGTACCCCTGCTGAATTAATACAAAGGACCGTTTGAGAGAGAGAGAGAGAGAGCTTAGCTCCAGGGCATCTCAGAAATGAAAGAGAACAGTGCAGCTGAATAAAACCACAAGAGGTCAGAGAAAGGACCTTAAGAATGAGGGATCGCAGAATGCAGCTGAGTGGAGACCGAGTGAGAAACAGGGAGTTTGGGAGCCCGGGGGGTGGGGAGGGAAGGCAGGAAAGAGGTATACTCTGGGGGACGGAAAGGATAGAGCGGGATTAGAGAAGGATAGAGAAGGATACAGGGGTGGGGGGAGGGGAAAGAGGTGGGAGGAAAGCAGGGAGGAGATGGGGGAGGAGTGGAAGGGGGGAAAAGACAGGGTACAAGGCAGAGTAAGGATGGTGTGGTCATACCTGACAAGGTAGACATCAATGGGGCCATTGGCGCTGCGCAGCAGGATCTGGTACCGCTTGCTGCATGGCGAAGGGCCGCTGTGTGCCCTGCCTGCCTGTGTGACACATGAGGACGGGAAGACAGCGGGGATGGAGCATGGGTGGTGGGAGGGAGAGGAAGGAGGGGGGAGGGTTGAGCTGCGAAGCAGGATCTGATAGCGCTTGCTGAATGGCGATGGGCTGCTGTGCGCCCTGCCTGCCTGTGTGACTCACATGGACGGGTGGAGAGGGGAGATTGGGCATGGGAAGGGGGGGGGGAGTTGGGTGGAGGGGGGAGAGAGACAGGAGAGAGGAGGGTTGAGACTTGCAGCAGGATCTGGTACTGGTTGCTGCAGGAAAAAGGGGAGGAGTTGGGCGGATGTGGGGAGAGGGGAGAGGGGGCATCGGAGGTGTGAGCGTAATGAGGGGTCGTTAGGTATGATGATGCGGATGGGATAGTGGCACATGATGTGGATGGTACCCATACTTTGATAAGGCGGCACAGAGCACCACCAGCAGGAATCACATCAGCAGGATTCACCCCATCAGAAATCACCCCATCAGAAATCACCCCATCAGGAATTGCCACGTCCGCACTGACCACGTCAGCACCCACCCTATCAACTCACCTCGTCAGCACTGACGACGTCAGCTCTCACTCATTCAGGACTCACCACGTCAGCACTCACTCTATCGGGACTCACCTCGTCAGGATCAGGAACTTCCAGCATGGTTCCATGCGGAGCACGGATGGCGATGAGCGTCTCATTCTGGGATGCAAGGGAGCGAGGATGAAGGGTGGGGGAATGGGGAAGAAGGGGGGGGATGGAAAAGGGAGGGGGGGATGGAAAAGGGAGGGGGGGGTGGAAAAGGGAGGGGGGGATGGAAAAGGGAGGGGGGGCGGGGAAAAGGAGGGGGAAAGGGGAAAGAACGGGGGATCGGGCAAAAGAAGGAGAAGGGGGAAGAATGGACGATTGGCAAGGGAGGGGGAATGGAGAATGGAGGCCGGATGAGGCAGCAGAAGGGGAATGGGGCAAGGGAGGGAGGATGGGTCAAATGAAGGGGGATGAGGCAAGAAAGGAACCATGGAGCAAGCGTGGGTGGATGGGGCAAGAGAAGGAAGATATAACGAAAAGGTGCCCAAGTGAAATCAACCAATGGGCCAATGCATGCATTAACAGGGATGCCAGAATTTCCACAAAATTTCAGGATGGATGTTATAACAGCAACAGTTACAAGACACGGTCTACCTGGAAACACGGAAGGCCCTTGATATCATCTTCTGTGACGAACATCCACTGCTTCTTCTCCCCGTCGTTGCCCGACAACCGTAGCCGCTCCTGCATGGCCCTGTGGAGGTAGCAGAAGGGGGGAGGTGGCAGAAGGGGGGAGGTGGCAGAAGGGGGGAGGTGGCAGAAGGGGGGAGGTGGCAGAAGGGGGGAGGTGGCAGAAGGGGGGAGGTGGCAGAAGGGGGGAGGTAGCAGAAGGGGGGAGGTGGCAGAAGGGGGGAGGTGGCAGAAGGGGGGAGGTGGCAGAAGAGGGGAGGTAGCAGAAGGGGGGAGGTAGCAGAAGGGGGGAGGTAGCAGAAGGGGGGAGGTAGCAGAAGGGGGGAAGGTGGCAGAAGAGGGGAAGGTAGCAGAAAGGGGAGACAAATTACTATGACACGCCTCAGAACTTGTGTGTCTCATGACATCTTACAGCTACAGCTGCAGCTGCAGCTTCATCTCCTCATGTCTGAGAAAGGCAGCCTCAACCATCAATGCGCCTGAGAAAGACAGCTGCAGCCACTCATTATGTCTGAAAAAGCGACTGCACAAAGAAACGGCACCAGAAATCTGTTCTCCTTGTCTCACGCTCCAGATCCGATCATATCAGGATTTTATCAAATGATGAAGATAAACTGGTCAAGGAGAGGAGAGGACGGTAAGGAGAGGAAGAGGAAGAGGAGAGGAGAGGAGGGAGAGGGAGTGCATACTTGATGTCTTTGTCCAGCTGCCCGTCTTGCTGCCTCAACTCGTCTAGCTGAGCCTGGTGTCAGCACAGGGAGGAGGAACGAGGAAGAAAAGGAGAGAGGGATAGAGAGGGGCGGACGAGGAGGAGAGGTGGAGGAGGCAGAGAGGCAGAGGAGCGAGGAAAAGAAGAAAAGTAGCTATTGATTGAAGTCGTGTGGGACATGGAAAACGGGCGTGATGGAAGCGGAAAATAGTGGATGGACTGATTTCACGAGAACAGAAAGAACAAACAAAAAGAAATAGCAAAAGGCGTGCCAGTGTTTGGATTGGAAATGCAATGATATGGCGGGGAGGAGGGGGGGGGGGGGAGGGTCGGCAAGGATAGAAAGGGGGAACGGGGGGGAAAGGAAAGGGGGTGAATGGCAGGAAGGGGAAGGAAGAAGGTTGGGAAGGGGGAGAAGGAGGGGAAGGGTGGGAAGGGAGGAAGCGCAGGACAGGGGCGAAGGTGGGAAAAGAGAACTAGACAACATGCCAGGTCGAATCCATAACATCCCGCACCCAACCCTCCCCAACCCTGCTTCACCCTCCCATACCCCTCACTCCCCCCCCCTCCCCCTTCCCACCCACCCCCCTCTGCCCCCCCACCAAGCACAGCACCGCACAGCACCGCACCTGGGCACTGGTCACGTCGTGTTGCATGCGTGATGCTCCCTCCCCTTGCAGGTTCATCCCCCTGTCTCAAACAAGCACAGCACAGAGAGTGGGGTTCGAGAAGATAGTATGAAGGAAGCCCCAACCTCTCTGTCTACCATAGCACAGGGAGGGGGATCGGAGCACACAGTTTTGATACGTCTCAGGAATCTGACTCAGAGCTCTACCTCACACAGTCCTGAACCCAAGCAGAGTCCCAACCCCTCGCAGGCTCACCATTCCCATCCCGCCCCAAGCAATCATTTCCCCTCCTCGCATACACTCACCCCCACCACCCCACGCACTGCACTCACCCCCACCCCCTCATGCACTCACCCCCAACCCCCCATGCACTCACCCGTCCCCAACCCCCCATGCACTCACCCGCCCCCCCCTCCCCATGCACTCACCCGCCCCCCCCCCCCCATGCACTCACCCGCCCCCCCCCCATGCACTCACCCCCAACCCCCCATGCACTCACGCCCATCGCACAGTGTTCTTGCCCTTCTTCTCAATCAGTCCTTTATCCCCATCTTACTACGCCTTCCTCATCCCCCTGCACTCACCCCACCCGCCCCACCCTCCCGTGCACTCACGCCCATCGCACAATGTTCTTGCCCCTCTTCTCAATCAGCCCAATGCCTTCAAGCACGTTCGTGATGTCGTAGATCCGCCGCTTCTGCACCTGCAGTGACCACAGCAGGATTGGGGGTTAAGGTGGGGGTGGGGGAGGGGGCGGGGGGGGGGGGGTGGGAGCAGGGGAGGGTTATGCGGGGAGCACACTTAATCAGACCGATACCCTCGAGTACGTTGGTGATGTCGTAGATCCGTCGCTTCTGCACCTGCCGACAAAAAAGCAGGTGGTTGGGGTTGGGGTAACGAGCAAGGGGTGGGGCACGGGGAGCAGTCCGGACTGACCCTTAAGAACTTTCCAGGTGGAGAGAGCACGGAACGTTCGGAGCAATGGCATAATGGGTGTCAGGAAACGCAGACTGAGGGAGGCAGCAGCGGCGTTGAGACCGACGGAGCAGTCGGGTCTGGCCTTGATGAGATCGATGAACTTCGTAGAGGGTACAGAACACTCGGAGCAATGTGACAATGGGTGTTCACATCAGGGAAGGGGAACGCACGCTGAGGGAGGCAGCAGCGGCGTTGAGATCCACGGAGCGGTCGGGACTGGCCTTGATGAGATCGATGAACTTCCGAGTCAACAGCCCTGGAGATGACGAGCAGCAACGGTGGCAACAGCATGGTGGCAACAGCAGCAGGGTGGCAACAGCAGGGTGGCAGCAGCAGGGTGGCAACAGCAGGGTGGCAACAGCAGGGTGGCAACAGCAGGGTGGCAGCAGCAGGGTGGCAGCAGCATGGTGGCAACAGCAGGGGGGCAACAGCATGGTGGCAACAGCAGGGTGGCAACAGCATGGTGGCAAACAGCAGGGTGGCAACAGCATGGTGGCAACAGCAGCAGGGTGGCAACAGCAGGGTGGAAAGGACGGCAGCATGTGACTGAGCTCTGACTATGAATGAGTTAGAACCATGAGATTGGTTGGCGGCAATTGTGTGATGCGAGAGGAAAGAGGCGGGATAGAACGAGACGAAGGTGGGGTTGAATGCAAAGGGAGGACACCGGAACTCGAATCACACACTCGACTTTCTGATTGACCTCTGGCCTTCCGTCTCCCCATACTCTTTACCGAGAGAATTGTCGAATCTGCATGAAGGTTGCTGCTTCGGATGTGGCTGCAGGAATCTTGTGTTTGTCTTCTGATGAGGTAGCTCTTGTTGCTCTTGTTGCAGTTGCAGCGGTTGCTGCTGTTGCTGATGATGATACTCGAGGGGATGCTGTTGCTGCTGGTATGGCTGCACTGGTTGCTGTTGCTGCAGTTGAAGTTCCTGCTGAAACGGAAAATGCTGCTGCAGCTGCTGCTGGTGCTGTTGGTGCTGTTGGTGTTGCTGCTGGTGCAGGTTCTGCTGGTGGGGCTGGTGCTGTGATGGAAACTGCACATGCTGCTGGTGCGACGGCAAATGGTGGTGACCCTTCTGCGGCGGTTGTTGGTACGCTAGCTGGTGGTGCATCCTCGACGTAGCAGCAGCAGCAGCAGTGGAAGTGGGATAGGCCTGGGAATAAGGGATGGATATTTCCGCCTGAGACCACCCACCTGTACGGAGCCAAAGCACGCAAGAAACAAAAAAAAAAAAAGGAAAGCCGATTACATAAGGTGACATGCCAGAAATCGTGATCCGCTTGTAGCACTGAAATCTCTGCAGGAAGCCACGTTAATACCACCATCAAGATTCAGCCTCACGCAATGGAACGAACCCAAAAAGTCGGAACGATCCGGACCTCCAGATCCGCAGCCTGGTTTATCAAGTCGCGAATGCACCTGCTATTTTGCGCCAGACGTGGTATGAGATGCTTGCTGAATGCTGCATTGCTGCTTAAAACGACTCAGACATCGGATTCACATGCTGTACTGCGCTGGACGCGGTTAGTGATGGCTGCGAAATGCTGCATTGCTCACTGAATGAAACAAAAAAGCGACTCAAACGCCGGACTCGCCTGATGTCCTGACCCGGACGGAATAACGAATGGGTACAGAATGCTGCATTACTCACTGGATCACGAAGCGAGTGAGACATCGGATCTACCTGCGGTCCTGTCCTGGTCGGGGTAACGAATGGGTGCAGAATGCTGCATTGCTCACTGAGTTGAATCACGAAGCAAGTGAGACGTCGGATTCACCTGGGGTCCTGTCCTGGACGTGGTAAGGGACCGCTGCGGCGGAATGCTGCGCTTCCGTTGCCAGCACGGCCGTTGCGTTGATAGCTGCTCCAATCGCAGCGTCACCCAATCCGACCACGCTCCCCGTCCTTCCGTTAGGGATAGTGGTAGCGCTCCTCCATTGCGAGTCACGCTGCTTAAGCGAAGAAAAAGGGCAAACGAGAACAGGTTTTGAAACGAGAGAATCAGATACAGCCTGCATTGCAAGCCTTCGCTGTCAAGAGAGATCCGGTGGGTGGCAGATTCAGTGTGAGCTAAACCAGGTGTTTTGCACTCGCGATAACTTCATATTAGCGAGAAAGACATTTCTATTCCTGGTTGGCTAATGAAGATTACCGTGTAGCTTGACTGATAGGCTGCATTGTCCATTCCTCCCCAATATCCTTGGCGTGCTGACGAAAACGGATTCGAATCAGGGTGAAACGGAGGCTGATGAAACGCCTGCTTCATCGGTGAACGTTTTTGCTACAGCCGCGGCAATGGAGATCGTACGTGGAGCTCATCAAACCAGTCTACGACGCCAATGATTTGAGCTTTGTTGTTAACACTAAGTTTAGTTCCCGCGTGTCAACTCTTCGAATGAAGAGAAGGTGTGTGCTGTTGCTGTAATGTAAGCTTCGTCACTCGTCACTCCCTAGGTTAGCTAGCCTTACAAGCGTGCTGCTCCTGGAGCTGCTTGTGCTGCTTCAATTACTCTCCAATCTCCAGTCTCCAAAGCTTTTCATTCAAGAGTTCTCAAGTTCAGAGAATATCTCTTGGGAAATGAAGGGCGATCTGTTCACACTATCGAGGATGATCATTCGTGGAACAGTTTGTACGGGTTGGCTTGTGGGCTCGAAAATCTCGGCGGGAAATCTTGTATATTGCTCCATCCTCATCGTTGGATGGGTGAATCGCTTATCCAACGGCCCATCATCGAGCTGGCCAAAAATAATAGCACCCACAAGAGACAGGAGGAGCAACCATGGGTGGCAAGAGAACTGTTTCGGCCTTTTGCTAAAGTGTATGGACCCCAAGACAAGAGGAGCCAGCCAATGGTCGAGCTCACGACCAGGTTCGTGGGTGCTAATTGATGATCCCTGACACGCTGGATGCTACCCATGCCACATCGATTGGTTCATCGGTCGCTGGAGGTTCGGCCAAACCGTAATAACCCCTTGTCGACTGATTCACGAGATGTTTGCTAACTGTTACGAGTGCAATTGAGTGAATGAACGAGAATAGCACTATCTAAGCAAGCGTACAATGAGCGAAGGCATGAGCGAAGAATATATAGCGAAACTACAGTGGTAACGGTAATGGACTGTGGTTGTCGCGCAACGAGCCTGGGACTGAGGTTGGGAAAAAGTGTCGAAGCGGAGGCCCGGAGCGCGGGTTACCCGCCGAGTCGTGAGGTCGGGGTGCGACGTGCGAAGGTGGCGGACGGATTGTCGATGCGAGGATTGCGAATGGTAACGGTGCTGACTCTGGTGCTACAGTGATGTACGCGTTGAGCAGGGATGCGAAGTAAGGAAAAGGGATTTTCCTTACACTACCCCCCCCCCCCCTAAGGAGGTCCTCCTTACGAAAGTGCGTGTACATCCCATAAATCTCGGCTGCGCAGATACTCGGTGAGGACGAGGTGGTTTTCGATTCTGTCCAGGGGAACCCAATTGTCTTCGGTGGGTGTACAGTCCTTCCAGCGGAGTAAGAACTCGATCCTTCGGGCTCCTCGAGGGTCGCGAACTCTGTGACTCAGGATTTTCTCGGGGGTGATGATTGGTTCAGTTGGTGGTCTTGTCATGCTGGCTGGGAGATTGCGTGGCAGTTGGCTTGTGGACGGGACGTAAGGGCGAAGTAGGCTGACGTGGAATGAGGGGCTGACGTACCAATCAGCAGGGAGGAAGAGGTGGGCGGTGATGGGTGTAAGCATGTGGCTTATGCGAAATGGCCCGCAGTATCGGGGGCGGAGTTTCGGGGTGATGGGCAGTCGTGGCGGATGGCGAGTTGTTGTACGCGAATTCGATTAGTGGCAGCTGTTGTTCCTACGTGGTCGGGTCGTCACACGTGGCCCTGATGAGCTGTTCCATGGTCTGATTTGTCTGTTCTGTCTGTCCGTCAGTTTTGGGGTGGTATGATGAACCGAACTGCAACCGTGTGCCGAACTGCTGCCACAGGTTTCGCCAGAAGTTGCTGGTGAATTTCGTGTCGCGGTCGCTGATGATCGCGGCTCGTATCCCGTGCAGTCGAACGACGGTGGAGATGAAGAGGCGTGCTGTTTCTTCGGCTGTGATTGATTTTTTGCAGGCTGCGAAATGTGCCATTTTCGCCAGTCGATCGACGACGACCAGGATCGCTTCGTTCCCACTCGCCTCGGCTGGTAACCCCGTGACGAAGTCCATCGTCACCTGCTGCCAAGCACGCTCTGGGGGTGGTATCGGCTGCAACTGTCCCGCCGACCGCTTTCGTGATGATTTCATGAGCTGACAAGTGGGACACGATGCCACGTGTCGTTGTACGTCGGTCAACATTTCGGGCCAGGAATAATACCGCTGTAGCTGCTGCCGTGTTTTTTCTACTCGGAAATGCCCCGAGGTAACTCCGTCGTGTGCCTCCTGTAACAGTAATTCCCGTAGCAGTGTATACCCAGGCACCCAAATGCAGCCAGTCCCGGTTTTTACGGAATAGACTCCCTTTGCTGCTGCGAACTGCTACGAATTTCCTCCTATGAAGAATGGATCCGCTTGGTACCCGTGGGTGAATAGGCCTGTCAGTAGCGGGCTTGTTTGGGCGAGTAGTATTGCGTGGATCTGGGCAGTGGGGCGGGTCAGTGCGTCGGCGATGTTCGAGGCTGCCTTTTTGTAAGTGAACGTATAATGAAAGTTGGACTCGAGGAAATCGAGCCAGCGAATCTGTCGTGGGTTGAGGTGTGGCTGTGCGCGAAGGTACTATAGTGATTTATGGTCTGTCCGTACTGTCACGTCGGCGCCGGTCAAGTAACAGCGCCATACTTTGAACGCGTGCACGATCGCAAGCATTTTGCGGTCGTGTATCGGGTATTTTTCCTCGGGCGGATGCAGTTTTCGTGACTCGTATGCGATAGGCTGTAGGCCATTGCCGAAATCTTGTAGCAGTACGGCTCTGATGGCGATATCGCTTGCGTCAGTAACTACTTCGAATGGGCGGTGTGGGTCAGCGATACGCAGGAC